GATTAAAGTCCTGGTCGTGTGTATGCACAAACTCAAACACAAAGGACATGTAAGGGATTCAGGTGGCCATTTTAACTGTGCCTACACCTTGAAACATACCTGTAAACCTGGGTTGATGTAGATAGTGATCTTTAAATAGGCAGGTCTCAGGAAGACTCTCAAAAGTAAAAATTCAAAGACTCCTAGGTTCACTTGGGATTGTTTCTTCTTTCTTATTTCTCTTTCTCCCTTTGATGCACCAGCTTACTAGTTATAAATCATCACCCACCCAATTGTCTTTTAGCACCTAGTCAGGTGGCTGAGGGCAGAAGAACAGATTTCTGGGGAATGTAGTTCAGGCCACAGCTGCCATCTTGCTTGAACCAACAGCCTGTTTAAGAAAATTTGCTGGATCTTGCATTAGATTGTTTATTTATTCTTAGAGGACTTTCACGTGGGTCACATCAAATGCTCAATGAATACAATAAATGTAAATTTGGTCCAGTGGAAAGAATGTCACTTTTTATTGCTAATACTATTCCACCAACCTTGTTTTCCTGGGGGTAACGTTACTGTTCGAGACTAAGAACATTTACAAACTAGAGGAGCCCATTTGGTACTTAGTAGCTAATTGTAATAGTTAAAGTCATAAACTTTCAGCACTTTGTGGGAAAAAAGATTAATATAAAATAATGAATGACCCCACTGACAAAGAAGGTACTGGAAGAATAATCATTATCTTCAGATGCAACACTTGCCACACTTCTAATTGAGGGAGAAAATGATAATGATAATGCAGATGATGGAAAACGATTCTCAATAGCTTTTTCATCTCCTTGACGAAGCTGACCTGGCGTCGAGTTCTCTTACCCCTGATGAGCTCGGAAACATGCAAAACACCAGAGCTTAATCCCATCAGCAATTACTCGCAAGATTTAGGTTAATTGGAACACAGGTAATTTTTTTTCCACTACCCTTTTGAACAGGGAAGCATCACAGCAGAAACCTGAAAATCTGTCATTAAGGAAAACATATCTAAAAATCCTTTGCCTAGATTTCTGCAGCACAGCTCCACTCGGAGTTGAAAACAAAATCTCTCTCAGAGCGATTCATTTTGGTGAGGGATGGAAACTATAAGACATTATACTATACGAATTAGAGTTCCCATTCTTAAAGCTGAAAAAATTCTACAGTGGAATTAAAGAGTCATGTAGTTCAAAAACTTCCATTGAGTTTTTACTAATGTGTACTTAGCCAATCAATTTTAAATAGCTGTTGTATTAATGGAAAAGAATGTAATCACTGAGCCATTTTAATTATCACTATTTTGTGGCAAAAATACTTGCTTGGAAACAGCTCTGCATGGGTAGATGTGTGTTAAATGACTTCTCCTGCATGTGGTAAATTCCCAGTTTATGTGTCGGTAAGTTCTACTTAACTGTGCAGCCATTCTATTACTACAGTACTTTGATCAGCTCGATCTGCAGGACCTTAATTGAGCTTCTCCTTTGCCAAGAAAGCCCAGCGTTTCAACTGCTCATTTGGCACAGCCTACTCATTGAATTCTACTCCGTTTTCACTCTGTTCTTTCTTTTCTCTATCAATATATATTAATCCATATATTTTGTCGAAGTTCAGGGTGGCGGCTTAATGTTTGAATTTCTCAAGAAAAGCAACGTATTCTGAAAGGGTGATATAATGAGAAATGAGATAGGAAAGAGAAGAGAAAGAAAATACAGAGGAGCAACATCTTCATTCAGACCACAAAAACAAGATCTGTCCAGATAATTTGAGCACAGGAAGAGAACCATACTCTTAAGTAAAAAGACTTGTTGTCATATATATTTGTGGAAATATATTTATTTAGTTGCAACAAAGTATTTCTTCACCTTCAACTAAGTTGTTTTTTTTCTTCAACAAAAAAATCTTATTAGGCTTGAACCAGTGAAGAGTTTGCTTTTGTTACTTACAAATTTCCTGTTAACTCAGCATTATAATCATTATAGAAGCACACCTAGTTTGAAATGGATTATTAGGAGATAGAGGATGAAGTGCTGGAACTGCAGATATAAACCCATTTTACCTCCACTGCCTTGGCCACAGAATGAGACAATTTCCTAGAAGCCATTGCGTTCCAAAATCATGTTTTCATTTCATGAAGAAGATTAATACAGCAGCTAACTGTCACGATTGAGTTTCCTCCTCTTAAGGGCGCTCGGCCCTTTCGTAGTTTAGTTGATTATGTGCACCTGCCACCTCTTTGGTATCTCCTTATTTGAGCCTTGTGCTCCTGCTATGCCTCTCTCAGCTTTGGGAGATGGACTCCCGGAAGCCCACCTACCAGTGGGTCCAGGAGAGACCCAACAACATACAGTAGGCTTCCTCAAGGTGTCCTGACCGTCTGAGACTTGGGCTCGGAGCGCCTGGTCTTGTTACTTTCTTTTAACTTCTTGTTCTTGTTCCGGATCTTGTTCCAGATTTTAACCCTGTCTTGTCATGGATAGATCACCCGGTTTTTGGACTTTGGACTGCACCTTGGATTTCCGCCGGAACACCGCCATCACAGCCCCCTGTCTGTCAACCTGTTGTCCTTCTCCATTTACTTCGGGATTATACCGTCTGCATAGGGTCCTGAACTACGATTCACGGGAGCCTGGACTGGTTCCCATTACAGTGTTAAGTCTGGGTGATTTGTTCTAACATTTCAGCACTTTATGGACAGAGCTTGTAGTTTGCACACACTACTCTGAGTAATTGAGTAATAATTTTCCTGTAGTTTATTCTGTATTCCAAAGATTTTTCCCAAACATTCTCAAATTCCCCAAATTTCTGCAGAAAATTCCCAGATTTTTAGTAGATCACTGGAGGGAAAGCAAGCACTGGGTTGGAGGAGGGGGTGGAGATATACAGATTCATGGTTTTCCAGCTTTATAGATGTTGCCTGCAATTTTGGGATTTGATTTTTAGGTTCTGATGGCTATTTCTTTATGCCACAGTGCTGCACAATGTCCTTCCACTTTCCAACCCATGGAAGGCAACCTATTTCTCGCAGTTACCAGTGACATTCAAATTTCTGATTGCTTCCTGTGTGATTTAGCAACTTCAGGCATCCACAAGGCCAGGTTTTCATTTTATGCTGCTCCTTATCAGCAAGTGCTGAGTCAGTGCTTTTCAAGTGGCCTCTATGCTTTATAGCCAGTTTCAAAATGCTTTTAGTTGAAGATATTTATGTGGTATCAACTCAGTGAGTTGTTAAATCTAGTTTTACAGTTGTGACCTTAGATCACTTTCCTAAATATGACAAAAAACTGGCACTCTGTGTTGTATATTCATCACTGCTGCTTTTTTCCAACACCTAATCTGTTGCACAATGAAGCTGCTTTTGACACACGGTATATTTAGTGCAGTGAGTGCATGGATACAACATACGAAACAAATCTGCTAATTATAGTGAAACCTATAGGTATTGATCGTTAAAAGCTGTTCAGTTTAGGCCACTACTCATCAAAACTGTTCCCACAGGCATAATTGAGTTAACAGTAAAATTAATGAAGTAGGAAGAATAACCTTACTAAGATGTGCACTGTACCTTTGAATTGGTCATATTTTACTTTTTAAACAACAGGGGTTTGATTGTCTTTTGAATAATACACGATGTTTTACCAATAATTTTATTTTGGAAGCATCAAAGCACATACTTCCAGTAATTGCTTTTAATAGAGAAGTTTGGAAGTACTGCCAATTTTTTAAAGGTTCCAAATCTAGTCTGAAATGCAGCTCTGATACACATCAATATTGTAATCATTACACCAGTCCTGAAAAAAGACAGGTGCCTGCCTATGCATGATCATATTAAGGAGCACTGGGTATTCACTCAGTTACGTCTGCTTGGCATCCTGTGTGATTGGCGTCCTGACGAACAGCTGAGTGCTACAGTTTTGGGTTTGACAGTATTACAAGCTGCTGTATGTTATGAAGCTTAAGTACAAGACGGTCCAAGAAAACACCTGTATTATCCTATAAGATCAACACCCACACAAAAATGTATTAGAATGGCATTAGGCAGATTTCAGCTTTTATATGATAAAGTACATACTGTATAAGTTACTATATACAATAAAACCATGAGCATTGCTTTTCAATTTCTTATTATCCAGGTCCATTACATGAGAATATGTTATCTTTTTAGTCCCTGTTCCTATTAAATCAGTTAATCTGATTTAAAAAAAATATATTGAAATGTAATCATTGTTTTGCTCTTTCGGGAACCACCAAATTTGATTAACTAGGTAAAAAAATATATAATCATCAAAAACACAATAAGATGCAGAAAACAGAGAACATGAAGTGGAGCTCGTTGAAACCATTTTGTCCACGCTTTAGAATGTGCCTTTACACCTGTTTCAAAATAGGATATGTACAGTCATACTCAAGAGTGAATAATAACATTTAGACTGCTGCTAGGATTGCTGTTTTAGCACAAGTAGTCAGCATTTAGAATAGTATCTGCACACTCTGAAGTTCAGTATCTACCATTAAAAATGAACCTAATAGTCCAGTCACTGGAAATAATAATATACTGCATGCTGCAAATAAATATTGCTGTGAACAAAATAATGCTCTTTAATGACAGGTTGCCAACATTTGTTCTGCCAATTGCTATAATTTTTAACCTGCAAATCGAGTGTCGCTGGACTAAAAAATGAACAAATAAGAAATAAGCAACAGCTGTCTGCATTTTATTTGCTAAAATTGTAGAACTTTAAATGCTGCTGATGATGAAACATACTCTACTGCTTGAATAAAATAAATTGTTGCTGTTAATAAGTAACAGTTTTGAACAGTTTTCATATGGCTTATAAGCCATAATTAAGTGGCCACGCCAAATGTCAAAACCTCTAGTTATCTCTTAAATCTATAAGTATAGATATTTCCATGGCCAGTGTAAAAGCTGGTTGGCTGGTTTCAGATTAACACAGGGTATAAATTCGAACATTTCTAGCTATGGGATACAGTTCATGCTCTCTTGCATCGGATAAGGTAATGTGTTTTTTGACATTCCTACTAAAATTTTATTTTATTTTTCATTTTACTCAACTGGTGAGGATGATTTCCTACACCTAGTTCATTTCTCAGGAATCAGAGTGGCTTTCAAAGATTACAGTAGCAGTAGTTTGCTTAATGTGCTTCACATACCTTGATTTGACTTTCATTTTTTATCTGAGGTCTACTACATTTCAGAATTATATTGAATATCTGATTTATGAATTACAATGGAGGTGAAATACAATAGTTATGATTCTTTGGAGCTGTTTTCTGAGACTTCACTCTATATTTAAGCTTACATTAGTTCCTGAAGGCAGATACTGTATATAGGATATGCAGAGGGAGGTAACGAGTATACATTTGCTTTTCCTTGATAATTGTCATTTTTTGACAAAAACATTTGAAGTTTCTTATGGAACTTAAGAAAAAACTTTAAGCATCTGAGCCAGCTTTATTTTTTTATTTAACTACATAAAATGAAGTTTTTTTTCTTTTTATTCCCAGACTTTCATTCCAAAATGAAGATGCTTATTTTATTCACCTGCCTTCTTGGCTTAAGCCTTCAAGCACCTGTAAGTATTTACAGTACATTTGAGGCTTGAGACTAGATCTTTTTCTCTATAAAATTTCATAATTAATGAAAATGATTGCTGCATGCCAAATAAGGATAATATACTGATATTTAATACTTTTGTTTTATGTCCACCTTAATGTAAAAGGTTATTTAACTAACTTGCCATTCAGACATTCCAGTTCATAAAGTTCATTTTCAGTGAAAGGCAAACATACACTTTTAAAATATTGCCCTGCAGAAGAGTTTAAGGAGAAACAATGAGTAAATATGTCAGTGTAGTACAGGCCAAAAAGCATGTCTGTTCTTCAGAATATTACAGTATATCATGCTGACAGACATGCCCACTAGTATCCCTTGTCATTATCTTTTAGCTACTATTTTGGCAGAATAATTAAAATTGCTTAAGGACACAAACAGTACAGATGTTGTCATTTTCTAGCTCAGCTTTTTTCTTGCTAAAAAGTCTTGCTCGTTCTACAGTCACAGTGGGTGAATTTCCTATTTCATGTTTACAGGCACCTCAGCAACAAGGGGCTGGCCCTGCCAGTATAGAAATAGTAAGTGTTTCTTTGGGCATTTTCAGCTCTTTAAAATGGCAAATTCTGCTTTGGAGATGGGTTAAACCACATTACAAACTATAAGTTAATCATGGCTTGTTATTGCAGCAAATTGTTTTAGTTGACTAAGTTGATAAAACAAATCCACACTGACAGAAAGTTCCTAAAGCTGCTGTATTTATTGCACCTGCTTATAAAATCTGCTATTATAACTTATAAAGGGGCTCCAGGTGAGTTCAGTTTTGACTTGAGTGAATTATCTTTCAAACAGTTACAGTGTAAGCGGAGCATTTTTGTGTGTCAGTATCTCTCTGTCTACTCAGTTTTCACTCTTGGTAGCAGTACGAAAAGAAAACACTAAATCTGGCATATGTGACTAAAATTTATAAATATAAAAAAAGAACCTTGATCAAAACATGAAAATATTTTAGTTGGTAAGTAGACTTACCAAGTGTTGGCAGAATTCCCTATAATGACTTGCTAAATTCCCTACTGTATATTAATGACTTATCTCCATAATTCCACAGACATTTCTGTATAATGTGTACCCCCTGGAATACCTGTAGTCTCAGGCCTGACATATTGCTTTACAAGATTAGTTCTGCAAAATATACAAAATGAAATAAAAACAATCAAAGAAATGTCGGACCAGCATAATGCAGAGAACAAAGTGATTACAGTGAGATTTCTTTGTTTCAGTTTCTCCCATATGGAATCCATGGTCAAGCATTTGCTAGCCCACAGCATCCTGGAATAGTGAGTGGAATATATATATATACTGTATATACCTGATCAACTCGAAAGATAAAGTGTTGATAAATAACAATCAAGCGGCAAACAGCTCTAACATGAATGGAAGAGAACAGCAGAAAAATCTTTAAATTCATGCTAAATCTTATAATGTAGTATAGAATTAACACTAATTTTGGCAAAATACTGTAAGTGAAACCTAGTAAAATGGCATGGAACTGAAATGTTAGCTCCTCTATTGAATGTCATTTGATGACTGAATACTGCCATAATATTTGTTTATAATCTTTAGTACTAGGAGGGGATGTGAACTCAAAAGCCTGAAATCTAATTTCCTTTTTTCACCCTTTAGCAACTCAATCCATCATCCCCCCAGCAAAATGGACTTCCAGGACACGCCAGCATAGAATTTGTAAGCTTCTGATCTTTAATCCTCACATCACACACAACACAAATAATTTTAGAAATTTGTAGATTTATTATTCATTTTCCATGTTATCAGGAGTTGATCATGGTGATGACTCTTCTCAAAAGAAATAATTGAACACAAGGGCCACATTTCACATTTAAAATTGGAAAGGCGTTCAATATAAAGGAAATTACTTGAGAGTTTCAAATTGCTAGTAAACAGATGAATAGGATTACCAAGTAAGAAAGGGTGCTGGGACAGGTGATTGATTTGATAGAGGTATTTTTCAGGATCAGTTGAGACATTTTGTATAGGAAATAGAACATTGTTTTGATTACTTGTGGCCTAAAGCTTTCATAGATTTTCAGCTTTTACAGAAGGGATCAATATAAAATATTTTTGGAGAAACTTACATCTTAGAAAATACTATTTTTTTCTAAGATGGAAGTTTTGATTCTTACAGAATTTTGGGGTTTCCCAGATGAATAGCACTTACAGTAGGTGGGATGATTGAGACATTTTTGTCACAATCCACATAGCAAATCTACATTAAAACTGGCAAGAAATTTGTAATAGATTCTGAATATCTCAAACATTTTTTGCATTTCAGATGGCAAGTATCAGATAATGGGCACTATCAACCCCAATTTCAGCAGCGGTTACTGATTGCACTATGTTTTTTTTAAATGTTATCAAAAACATGAGAAGGGAACAGCAGATTTTATCATGCAAGTGCATGTTACTGATACTTTAATATTACTTTAATATTATTTTAATAATAAATCTACAGTCATTTTAACAAATAGAAAACAAAAAGTTTGATAATTATTTTTACAATGATGATTAACATGCCCTAAGAAACAAGAGTTGTTGCAAATAGAAGAAAATAAACAAATACAGAAAGACATCATTAGCTTTTTAGGCTGAGTGTGATCAACTGCTAGGTTCATGTAAAATACGCAGGTGTGAGAGAACGTTCCGATCTAATTCTTTTTCCAGCTGGTGCCTTATGGATTCCCCACCCAGCAATCTGGCGTCCCGACACAGCTGGGACAAGTAAGTTCACAAATGCTGCTTTCCTGCTGTTTAACACTGAAATGTGGTTTTGCTTTAGAGTAGTAAGTAGAAATATATATTCAATGTACAACATATAGTAGGAATATATTGTAGTTCATGTACAGTAGCATAATTTTAAATATTATTGGAGATCAGATACAGGACACACTGCTTCTAGCATGTGCACAAAGCCTAACAGATTAAGCAAAAGGCTATAAAACATATTTTCAAAGGAAGAGGGCAGATGCCTCTCTGCAGGAGTTTTTCCACCTCAATGTAATCAATAAACTTGCATCTCAGATTCTGTTTATTAGATCAGGACATGTCATAAGTGTTGGTAGTATGGATATCCTCTTCTTTATTCTAGATGTTTCCTCAAGGATATGTAAAACAAAAGAAGCTGCAGGCACCTGGCAAAGCAAGCAATGAGGCTGTAAGCTGTTTTCTTAATTTTTTTGTAATATTCTGTTTCTTTCTCCTCCACTGGTTTCAAAGCAGGAGAGGCACACATTACCAGACTACAGCCCATATGCTTCCAACAGAAGCACACGTCTCAGGGCTGCCTCTGTGCATAGGAAATTGATTTCAGCTTTATCACAGTAGTGCAAGAAATATTAGCATATATTGTTTATTTTTTTATCCTGTGTTAATATTTTTCAGTGAGGGAGAACATAATCTGATAGAAGCATGAAGTGTTTTTTTGATGTTTGAATCCAAATATTTGTGATGCAATTACGAAAGAGCTTCAGTTCTGCCCAAGGGCACACAGTACATGAGATTGCTTGTCAGTTGAAGTAACCTGTAGGTTTGAGTGAAGGGAAAGAAAGTTGAGGGGGAGCTTTTGATTTACTCAACAAGAACTCAGACATGAACTCGGGTTCAAGCGTGAGTCATGTAACTACAGTAGCTGTAACTCTGAAAGGGTTCCCAATTTGTGATACATGTTTGGCAGAATCCCACCACAAGAATCAATATTAGTTAGATAGGATTCTTTTACTTCTATCTACCACACTTTCCCATTCTTTAGGAAGAGTACTACTGTAGAGCCGAGAAGCAATTGTTGATTACAAATATGGTATAAAATACAAAGAATGTTCAAATATATGATAAAAATGTATTCAAACAGTAAGGCAACAGAGCCTCACTGACCATCAAGGCAGTCATGCTTCCTGAAGATAACAACCAAATCTGAGCAACAGCCAATTGTGTGTTCAACACAGAGCAGTAGCTAATGTTATTCCTTGTGTCTTTTACAGCACAACAGCCCAGATCCTGCTGCGCAAGATACAGCCCAACAGCCAGCCGAGAACGGGCCTGCTAGCATTGAAATAGTAAGCATTTTATATTCTCTCCTCTGGAAAAATTCATTGTGAGCGGTATGGTCAGCATTACTGGCTCACAGCTCTCGGGTCCTGAATCTGATTCTGTCCAGGGTGTCACCCGTATGGACTTTGCACTATCTCCTTTTGCCTGTGAGGGTTGTCCCCGGGTACTCTAAGTTCCCTCTACATACTCTATCAAAGACATAATGGCTCGGTTTACTTGAGTCCCTGTGTGCTTGTGTCCATGCATGTGTCCTGGTGACTGGGGTCTTGTCCAGGGTTTAGTCCTGTCTTGTGCTTTGTTATTCCACAATTAGATCAGGGCTGTTGCCAGGAATAGTGGCAAATTACTATTCACTGAGACCTATAGAATATTATTTATTTTCATTAAACAAAAAGAAACCTTTAAGAAACATTTTGAAAATTATTGCCTTGACTTGTCAAACCTCAAGTCATTGTGACATTTTTTTTTCCCCGTCAAATAACAACACAATTTTCTTGACGGAAAAGGTACCCGATGATTTTAATAGGTGTTACTAAAGCTTTCCAGACTGTCATTCAACCTGTTTATTTACATTGGACGTTTCTGCAAATTATAAAAATGTATCGTATTATTTATTACATTATTTATTTTAAACCTACTCATCAAGTTATTCTTATGTGACTAAGTGTATCCTTCCTAATACCTTAGAAATGAATAAAAAAACATTTTGGCTAAACTAATTACATTCTTGGAACAGTGACAGGAAACATTCCTCACATGTATTTCTTTGAGCCTCATGAAACAGACTCTCATTGTTGTTAGTTGAGTTATAGTAGCCATGTCAATGGATGCCATTTCCTGATCTTAAGGATTTCATTGGTGAATTTTGATGATTCAAGGTTTGGTAAAAGCCTCAAGGTTTCATTTTTTAAATATGTTTCAGCTTCTTTAATTTATTACAGAACTATAGAACTACCGAAGTATAGTACAGCATTTGTTTTTCTGTCACACAGCTCATGCCTTACGGCTTTCAAGGACAACAGTTCCCCATGCCACAGATGCCAATTTCAGTGAGTATTCATTCCTGTTATTTGAAAATATCAACTCAGTGTGACGGTAATAGTGGTACACATACTGTACTATAATGTCTTTAATCCGTTAAACCATTGATAATCAATAGATGGATATACTGTATTCTATGGGAGCTATCGAAGTGTGTCAATTAGCACAGCTACTCCACAGCTCCATATTGATTCCACATTGGGGTGCCTTCAATATGAATTATGTTTGTGTGGATTTCCTTTAGGTGCTCTGAGACAAGTTGGTAGGCTGACTGGCTATAGTAAATTTCCCTTTCCAAAAGGAACAGGAGGCTGGTCCCTTCCTCATGAATTCCCCCTGTCAGGACTAGCTCCGTTAAAAATATAAACAGAGAGCTAAACCCCAGCTTAGTTTGGATATTAGATATGGATCAAGTGAAGAACAAGAATTATGTTGGTATATGTTGGTATTATGTTAAGTATGTTGGTAAAGGAATTCCAAACATGCGGGTCAAAACCACACTGCTGCCAGGACTATACAGGAATTGGAATTCAGTTGAAAGAAAAAATGCACCAACTGAAAGTGATTTTAAAAAGATGTACGTTATTTACCACTTCATTTACATAACGGTTTCCAGTGAGCAGCAATGCCAATAAATATCTTATACATCATCAGTATTAGCCGCAATCATTACTTAAAATAAACTGCCTTTACGAACAATGCAATGTTAACTGTGACAAGCTTTGCTGCTTGCACTTCAGAAATGTATTCACTTTTCAATGTGTTTGAAAAAGCCTTTACAGTATGTTCTAGAAAAGCGCAGCAAAAGTTTAATATAGCTATTACCTTTGCGGAGTTATTAGAACCACTGTCAAGTAATCAGTAAATTGAAAGCAAACAAACATTATACAAAACTAACAGACTATGAACAAAGAGCTCCATACAAAGTCAATTTCAAGAAGGCTTTATAGAGAGCTCATAAATCTATATGAAGCATAATAAAACAAAAATCTAATCAAGGCTACAGTACAAGAAAAGCAATAAAAATGCAGATTTATCAGAAGCAGAAGGAGAGTGTGCACATCATGCTCAAAGGCTGATACTCAATACATATCGAAAACAAATACTTTAACTTTTAACTATTATTTTAAACAAGCTCCCATCTAAGCATTACTGAAATGCATGTTATAAGGGAAGGCATTCATGCTCCATTTAGTATTTTCTTCACACACAGAACCACCCAGCAGGAGCCCACCCTTCACCTCAGCTCCCAGGCCATGTGAGCATTGAGATGGTAAGTCCCCTTCCAGAACCCTGAAACCCAGCTGAGACTTTTTAGGAACCGTGTTTTTCATCACCCAGTTCGGAAAGTGACAGAGGGCCATCAAGCTGGCCAGCAGAGTACAGTAAAAGCCATATGGAAAAGTAGAAGTTAAAAACAGGCTGTGGATGGTTTTATGATGCTGAGACCATTGCAAAAGTGAATTTATCTAGAAAATGTTAAGGAATTGTTAGGGTTAGGAGTGAATTGCACATTTTCACCTTTTTATGGTTGTTCCAGTGAGGGGTACAGATTGTAATGTTAGGAGTAACGGCATCCAAAGCTCTTTAGAATTGTGGTATACTGTGGGCAAATTAAGTTTAGTAAAGCACAGTAAAATTGACAGCAAAGCTAACAGGCGTACGGTAATGCAGGATTCAAACCATGGCAAAGTTAAGTTAATGCAAGGTTTAATTGTAGAAATACCTTTTTTTCCATTTCAATGGGTAGCATTGCGTTGACCCACTGTTCTTCAGTGCTTAGCCCTATGTACAATATTGTTATAACTTACATTGCTCATGTTCCTGCAGTTTTTTAGAGGAGATACTGTAGCAAACATGAAATAAGAAAAAGGGTGTTAAAATATTGGATGTTGCTGAGAATGTAGTGTAAGATTGTTATTTATTTTCTGTCGGCGGACAACTGGTGCTACAGTATCACAAGAAACCTTTTTAAAATAATAATTAATACAAATGGTATTTTTATAGTTCTGGAATTCATAGATGCCAGATTTACAATCAGTTATTGAAACTCTCAAAGTCACTATACAGAATACACTATATTCACAAATCCTTTAACATTCTCTTAAATTTCAAACCAACATGTAAAAGTAGTAGAAAAAAGTGTAAAAGTGGTTGTAGAAAACATTATGACTTTTAATTCTTAATGCATGGAATACACATCAAAGCTGTGCATGATAAGCAAAGATCTTTAAAAATTAAAGATCGGGGACATAATTATTTAGTGTTCTGGAAATTACATACTCTTACAACTCTGAAATGAAGCCCCATTCATATCATAACATTTTGTTAGTTTCTAATGCAACAGTAAATGGATTATCTGTAACATCCAAACATGTCATCCATACCAAGACAAACCTTTTCTAAAGGTTAACTGAGCTCTGCAAGATTTGAGTATCATGATCTGTCTTTTTTCCTAAATTAAAATTTAACAGACATAAGAAGTATGAATCTGGAAAATAGCATAAAAGTACAAAAAACAACATGTCAAAATCTATATTGCTTCATTGACCCTGATGTCAAGTCAGATATTTGCAAATATTGTAACCAAAACAAAACTTGATTTGAATCCAGTGGGAAAATAACAGAACTAGGGGATGCAAACAGTATCAGCTGTAGAGTTAATCTTTTTTTCCAAAGAAGTTTGTATTTTTTTATTCTATTAAGATTAATTAATATATTTTGTATGTTGTGCCTATTATTTGTCTCCCTACTATTTATATGTAAATTTCTATTTGACATAGTAACAAATACTGTAGCTATGCCAAAGAACTTCTAAAGCTGACTGAGTGGAAGTACTATGGGGGCATATTGCTTACTGCAATGCATGTAAGCCCAGCCTTCCCAGCCTTAGAAATGTGTTGTATTTCTCAACAATCTTTTATCAGTCAATCATCTTTCATCAACCCTTCCTGAAGCACTTTTACATTTGCAAGATTGTCAAATTTAAGAAGTAGCAGTAAAAGAGAACTGATCTTTTAAAAGGTGTGATGCACAACATGCAAGAATATAATATGAAAAGCTCCCAGTGGGCTATTTGCCATGCACATAACAAAGCAAAGCGGAATAAGAGAATCAGTAGTGCCAGACTGGAAACTGCTTCATTGACAACAGTTTTTCTGTCTTCTCCAACACAGCTCTACCCATATTCATACCCAGGCCAAACAGCTGGATATCCTCAGCAGTATGGACCAGTAAGTCTGCAAGATCTTTTTTATTCATGATTTAAAGCTGTAATATTGTAACTGCTCTAAAAGATGAATATCACTTATGCACAACTTGACAGATGGGTAACATACAGGTGTGTTATTTGTTTGGCCAGTGGAGCCTTAGCATTATTTTTAACATGTCAGTTGAGACCTAATTCTTACTGTAGGCGAATATTGGCCAAGAGACTACCAACACTGTGACTCAGAGAACAAAGCAGTGAAATAAAGAAAATGGCAATCGAGAAATTGCAAATAATAGAACAAAACTTGGCAGTGTTTATAAATGCAAGTGCCAGACAGAAAATATTTAACCATTCAAGTGAAAATGGCCTCATACAATATATAAAGGTGGATACAGTAGGTGTCCTTTATTCTGCATATTGTTTCAGTTACTGACAGAAGAAAATTAAAATGTCTTATAATCAGGAACTTCAAAATATTGGAAGGTTTAGTGTGATAAAGGTATTGCATCTTAAATTGTAGGATGGCAGAGAACGGAAATTAATTATTAAGATAAGAAGATGTTATCTAAAAAATAAAGATCTTTAAATTAACTGAAACCACTGAAGCATCCATCTACTATGCAGGGAGGGACAAAAAATCAAAGAATAAATATTACATAGATGAGTGTGAAAGAGGGCACCAGTAATTAATCTTATGAATTGTAGAAGACATCAAAATAACAGCTTTAAAATTCATTTGGTTAACAGCATTGTTATCCACGATGTGGAGTGTGGACGAGTGCAACATGTGTATACCAAGAGCAACACATAATATTTGCTGTGATGGAAAAACAAACAGCAATAGACCTAACTTTAGCTTGTGACTTCTAAATACTTGAAATGTAGAGCACTGTTCATCCAGATGCCTATATACATGTACTGTATGTACAACCTATGCTTTGCCCAAACGTTACCTTACATACTGTATAGTAAAATTGTAATGATCATCACTAAAGTAGAAGTTTTTTTTTAAGAGAATACATTTAGTTTTATCCAAATAAAGAAGAAAAATACTCAACTAGATGGATTTTATGAAAACCAAGCTACTGTACAACACAGTCATACCTGATGATAAAATGGGTCCAGTCGAGTATATACTGTACATGTGTCATTGGTATGAAAGGGAATACAAGTGTTACCTAATGCCTGAGCGGCAGTCTGCCTACACTTCCTGGTTATGTCACTTCTGTGTTTCATTCCTTAGTGATTAATAACAAGAGCTACACTGTAGTCTGGAAATATCAATACTAAACAAGTTGAGATTGTACCTCAGCTTGGGCCCTGAGAAGAAAAGGACAAAAGCAAAGCAAATTCTGCAGTACATCTGTCATCTTCCTAAACTTACTGCTTATCTACAGTTGAAAGTAAAATGTGAACACTTATGTGTTTTGTTCCCCTAGCAGAGTGATGCCCCGGCTGCTGCACCCCTGACTCCTCAGCATCCCGCAATGCCCCAACACGCCAGCGTAGAGCTTGTAAGATTCATCACAGCTTCCGTTGTCAAATACTGTTACAGACATTTATTGCTCGCATGATTCTTTGGGAAATGCACCATCATGACTATTACAGTACATATTGTACCAAGGAAGGCTGTTGCATTCAACTCCTGTTCTTGTCTTGACAGTCACAAGAGATACAGTATATCTCGTATGAAGTTTTGTTTCCTCTTAAATTGTCCTGCCATCTACATAGCAATAGAAAATCATTTAAAAACTGAAGAATCCCAACTCTTCCCACTGGCACTGCTGGATTTCTAACCTACATTGTTTTGTTGTGCAGTTGGTTCCATATGGATTCCCAGGCCAGCATCAGGGACATCCCCAATATCCTGGATCAGTAAGCCTTGTGCACCTTTATTTTACTCATTCACAGGCTAGCGAGTCCCATGAATTTACATCAAATTGCAGAGCGGAGGCCCTGGGTTCAGTTCCTGGGGGGGTACCCGCTTGGAGTTTGTATGTCTTCCTTGTGTTCACGTAGGTTTCCTTTGGGTGCTCTGGTTTTCTCTCAGGGTCCAAAGGTTGGCTTCTGGGAAAACTGAGTTTTTGTGTTTGTGCCTGTGTGTGCCCTGTGATGAACTGGCATCCCCTCCATGGTGTATCCTACCTTACGCCAGTTGCTTGCCAGGATAGACTCTGGCTCTCCCGTGACCCTGGATTGGATAAAGTGGTTAGGAAGTGGATGGATGCATTTGTGCATAAAGAGGTCCATAAATGCCAGCTCCACCGGCTACACCATAGCTGCTTCAGATGTAAAATGAGGCTCACTGCCCCTGTGGTAGTAGGTTTAGTCTGCCACTAAATCCATGTTTCTCCTCCTTAGATTTTTCCATCACAGGGATTTCTGAAGCACAAAATTCCTCAGCCTCCTGGTGCACGCAGTATTGAAATTGTAAGTATTTTTCATCTCTTTTTGTTTTGAATGTTTAGGGACCAATTTTCCCTGCAGGCAAGCGGTGGGCGAATTGCCCATCGAATTCATTGGCTTCATTGGTAGTAAGTTGCCCGCAGAGAAAATGTGGACCATTATACAGTACGCCATTCATCAGAGGCGAAACACTACTAACAAATTAAGAAATATCCCAATTGTTGTCAAATACCTGTAAGACACATTACACAGTGCAAACAAACCATTATATCAATCTACTAATGTACTTCTTTTTCTGTAGCTGTATCCATTTGGATTTGGATCACAGAACCCGGTAAGAGAAGACTTTCATTTGTATTTTTTTCACTTTTCTTTATATATCCAAATACTTTGCCAATGTTCCTACCTGCAAAGTGTTTGTTATTTGATAGGATTCAGGCACCACAGTGCACTACAAGAGAGTTAGCAGTAACTGGATGAGCAGCTTGTCTCTCACTGAAATCCACTGCAATCCTACAGTTGCCTGGAAGCTGGAGGATCTAATGTTTCCTACATAGAGTAGCTGGGAAAGTTATGGCTAACTAATCTTAGCCCCACCCCAATGATACTTTCATGACACAGACCTGGTGTGAGAGGCTTTGACTTAGAAAAGGTAGATCACAAGGCTTGAGCACACTAAAACTCACTATGACCTGAAGAAAGTGTCTTTCCTGTAGCAAAATCTTCCCACATATAAAGACTTGAACTTCACAACCCTCCCCCCTTGCCAAATTGCATCTCTTTCTATCCCAAACAAGCTTAATCACACCCGTGCAAGAACAAGATGTAGACAAATATCCTGAGCACCTGAAAAAAAAAACCAGAAAAGTGAATTGAACCCAGGAAGCAAGAGCTGTGAGGCAGCAAAAGAAACCACCATGCCATCTTTCTACCTGAGCCATTAAAACAAACTATCCAAGCCAGATTTGGCAATAAAATGAATCTCTCTGTGTTCGCTGTGCTTTGTTTTTTGTAGATGTTGCAGTTTGGAAATGCATCACCTGTTGTGCCACAGCAGCTTGCTTCCCAAAGCCCTAAGGTAAGATGCACAAACTAAACAATCAACTAAGTTCTAATTTATCAGCAGGAAGTCATCTATGGTGTTATTAATCATGTCTTTCCTCTGTTGGGAAAGGAGAAGAGTATTATACAATTATCAGTGGGCTCTTTGTCATCTCTGCAGGAGTTCCCTTCCATTCTCAATTTCCCATCATAGTCAAATCAGCACAACTGCCAATGTAAGATAATCGGCTCCACAGTTTCTCTGCCGTTTCAGAACTACTGTCTTTTGGAGCAGAAGAACGTGAAGCAAACACTGAAAGAGTGGTGTTTCCACTTTACTCTTTCCTCTTGAATATGTTCATTTACTTCTTTGCCATTTGGGCTTGGTGACCTGCTGGGGGCAAAACCTATCCTGAATCCCATCCTTTCCCATCCTTTTACTGTATGTCTATGATCTGTTTCCATCTATCCCAACAAGATCTCTTTAAAGCTGAAATGTAAATATTTGAAATTCAGGGGACATTCATTTTCATGAGCAGTGTGAGTGAGGCGTGGTTTGGTTGTCAGAAATTGTTTCTCTAAGCCATTTTTGATAACTAGTGCAGGAGAATGGAAATTTCATCAGGAGAGACGGCAAAATATTCCTTAGAAGAAGGTGGATGCATGTAACGAGCAATAAATAACTGTCAATTCCAAATGATAAAATGACTTTTTAACTGAAGGCTAGAAATTTAGGTCAAAATATATTCAGTCTGACAGGATTTATCCACTCATACCAAACGCTGTTATTTTTCAGTAATTTTAAAGAAACTTTTCCATCTCTTCTGTGATATTGCATTCATTGTGTGTGGCATTTTCTGATGTTTTCTGTTGAATACCTTGTTATGTGCAACAACAGGGCTGTTAGGTGAGCTCAATCTAACAACAACATTGCCCAGAATGTTTTGATAAAAACAATCATGAGAAATGTACAGGGGGAATAATCACAGCTGCACAATGCTCTCAACATTCCTGCCTTGAATATTCTTTCAGAAGTTAATGCTTGTATAACTAGACACTCTAGTTAGTGCACAGCACCAGAAGAGACATGAAACATGAGTGAAATTATATGACATTCAGAAAAAAAAACATTACAGTATATCAGTTACCCATTTAGTCACAACTGGAGATATTCAAATATCAAGTCCGGTTTAAAGCACATCTTTTATGGATTGAGTTACATTTCTGTGCAAAAGTCCTTCAGACACCTCTGAAGGTTTTTCAGCTTAAGCCTTCTCTCATGCAAAATCTGAAGGAAGATAAGAAACTAGATCCAGCTTGTCAAAGGTTTCTTATACTCTGGAGTTTGTCACAAGCTGCGCTTTTGAACAAGAAAGTGGACAAACAACTCAATCCTTCAGCCAGAAGGAATACCGTTACAAATAGATTTGCTAGATTTAGTTGTATGGGTCTTGTCATGCAAGAGGACAAACTATTAAAATGTATTTTAAAACCTTGTATCATTAAAATATGAAATCTTCCAGTGTGTCAACACTGTATTCAGCCCTGTATTCAGTACTGTATAAAGCTCAGTTGGTAGCTTTTCAGTTATTGGCAAGTTTTATAAAACCTAAAAGTACAGTATTAGGAAACGTGTGTGTGCAGAAAAAAAAACATTTTCTTGTCAGATGCACTTGAATCCAGACCTTAATTCATGATCATACCTGTCTGGTCCCAGTAATTGACAGGATATTAATGATGTAGGAAAGGAATCTTATAGCAAACAAGGGCTGGCAGCCCTTCCTTCCCCTTTTTAATACTGTTTGTTGGTGTATCTCCACAGGCATTCCCTACTGCCAAACCAGTCCAAGAGGAGATCAGTCAACAAAAACCAATTGTAAGAAAGTACTAAACAGGTAGCGGTCTGGATTATGTCACACCACATTGGGAAAACTGTATTTCAACAAGATAGCATTCTTTCTATCTCACAGGAGATGCCAATCGATGGGATACTAAAGGAGGCTGAGCAAACTGTTTCACCAAGTGCCAAAACAATGGAATAGGTATTCTGCAGTTTCTTTGATTTAAGATTAACTGTAATACTGTAATAATTATAGCAATTAATATACACTATCAAAAGCAGTTTTTACCTTCACCGCATTTTAGGTTTAAATATTGCTGATATTTTTATCACTCCTTTTAGATTCTTTGCTGTTAATACAACAAAAACACTAGAGAATTAGAAAGGATACAATGCAAATTGATATTAGCTTATTAAAAAGGTAAACTACAGGAGCTGTTATCAATACGGGGAACTCATCCAGTCAAGTTCTAAAGAATCTCAGGGAATAATGTTCAACAGTAAAGAAAGGAAGTGGGTTTTATTAATGAAATTCACAACTGTGAGCAGAGTAGCTTCCAATTTTCATTATTAATGCATGTGCTCATAATTCCCACATGTGCCCTCATATTGTAGTTTCACTGTTGCAGCATCAAACAAAAGAGTAAAAAAAAAAACATGCAGAACTCAAATTAAGGCAATGAAATTCTTATATAAAAATGAAGCAGTCTTACATCTAGTCTATGACCTTTGTAGTAAGCCTTTGGTAGCTGACAAATTTGTAGCCTTCAGATAATACCACAGCTACTGCATAAAAAAGGTGTAATTGAACACTGAAACTCAATCTCTCTTGCAACAAGAAACAGATTTTTTCCCAGGGATCAGCAAAGTTCTTTTTTGTAGAGCCTTCATCCCAGAGTTGGTACAGTTATCTCAAAAACAGAAAAAAAGATCTTCATGGACCTTTGGTGCATAGGAGGCACAATTTAAGTATTCCTCAAGATCTACATTCTAGCATTTTATAATGAGTAGAGACTGAAATGTTTTCCCTACAAACGTCCTGAAGTCAGTAGTTCACAGAAAAGTATTCAAATGGAAGTTTCAATATTTTATATGCAGAGCCAAGAGAAACCATAATCAAAACAAATACCCATAATCTTTGATGGCATTTGTTTAGAATTTAAAAATGCTTGCAGAGGCACTTGGAAACCCATGAAAAATGAACAACACATTTAGAAAAATAGACAATGTTGTTCCAAGGTTTTAGAAGATAATTCACTTCATCTTTCTTTGCATCAACCTCTTTGCAGTTTTATGGTACTGTTCACTGATAGAACAAAGAGGATATAGTCCTGTAAATTCTTAAAGGATGTTTTAAAGAAAATACTATTTTAAACCATTTAGCAAACACTTGGAGATACTCATATAAATGATGCTGTAGCCAAGCCACAACATATGTACTGTGTAGTGGTTTTTCATTTTCTCTCTTGCAAGATGCATTTCAAGCAAGAGTCAAACGTGACTGCGTTGTTAAAGTTTTATTATGTGACATTCCATTAATTAATTAAGGAGATACACTGTATTTCAGCTTAATGGGGAAGGTATGTGTGTGTGATGATGAGGAGGGGAGAGTAGTGTTAATCCTTTTCATGCAGTCAGACACATGGCACATGCCCAGGTGATGAGAAATAATATAATAGTGTTATTTACACAATAAACTATGAATCTTTGTATGATTAAAAAAATACAAAATTAAATAAAATGTATGAAGGTGAAACAAACATAGATGTAATGGTTCCCACAGTACTTCCTGCATTACTGCAGTTACATTTTTAAAAGCATTGCTTAAAGTTTGATAATACTTTTCCATGTCATGACCTAATTGAAAAAGAGGGCTTTTTTGTGAAACTATAGGAATTCTCAGACTCCGACTGCTGGGCTGTTATTTCTCACAACACAGTGCTGTTCTTTTATGTTCAACATTTTTTCTTTTGCAGACGAAATCTTCATTGAAATCACAGCAACCTGCCAATGGCCTGTTTCCATGACACTCCACATTTCCAGTAAAATATTTATATAAACGTGCAAAAAAAAACAATAAAAAAGATATAGAACACATCTTTTAGGTTGTACTGAGAACAAAATAAAAAAAAAAACATACACACTTAGGTATTTTGGACTTTAGAAATTCAGCAGAAGGTTGTATAACCTAATTCATTGCTAAAGCCACAAGTCTCTACTCATATTAACTTTTCAGAAGCAGTAAGTTATATTTCCTTCAGTTTGCTGTCATAAAACAAGCAAAACTACAGGTTCAGTGTCAGAAAAAAAGTACACATGCCCAGTGATACTTACTGAATTGTCTGGCAGCATTCAATGATTTTACATGCAATACATCCTTATTTTGATTGATTTATGTTGGCATTGTGAGCTATTGAGTGCTATTTGGATATTTTTTAGAGTGGCTTTGAAATTTGTTTTCACTTTTCAACATAGATAGTCTACTTGAGAACCAACTGTTTCTCAATTTTATGTGGTATACCTGTGAGTAGTTATAAATAGCCATTAATCATTAAATGTGGCCAACAAATTGTTTTGCTTTCTCGGTATGTCATTGTGCTGGAACAAGCACACTATGTTTACTGTTTGAGAGTTTTATCTTTTAAATGGATGATCAATTTAATGTAGAAATAAAGGTTCCCTCTAATTTAAGAACTGTAGCCGCCTTTTTATTTAATCTTAAGGATTTGTTTCCCAAGCTTTGGAGCTGCTGTTTCACACAATGTGTCATTAAAGATTTTTTTGAAGATTGATTACTTTATGTGCTTCAGTGAAGGTCTGCATGCTTTTAAATCAAAACACATCAATCTGAGAGATATAAACTCGCAGGGCCTTATTATAGCTTGAAAAGAATAAAACAGTTGATTGTTCATTAAAGATGGTTTTATTAGAAAAAGACAGTATACAGGTAATAATAAGGCCGCAGGTCTCAATAGGAACATGAAGTCATAGCCACCACCCACATCAGTCAGTAAGAATGCTAATATTAAACATTTTTACAGTAATACCAGAAACAGGAGCTCTATTTGAGTGAATGACTTGAATTTACATAGTATTTATTATAGGAAGACAGTGAAACTTTGACACAAGAGAACCACTGTTTTTTTTATGAAACAACACTCTTGGCACAGTCAGATATAGTGAAACCATACAGTGATAAATGACACAGATATCCCCAATGCGTTACCTAAGATCACCTCCAATTCAGCCGGAGATGGTTTTGCAGTTGTTTTTGCCAAAGACAATCTCACAGGGGTGGCACAGGGGATAGCGTTGCTGCCTCCCAGCACTAGGGCCCTCAGTTCAGTTCCAGGGGTGCTACAGTATCCGCATGGAGTTAGTATGTTCTCCCCATGTTTGTGTGGGCTTCCTTTGCGTTCCCTGGTTTCCTCCAACAGTCCAAAAACTTGTAGGTTAATTGGCTTCTGGAAAAACTGGCCCTAGGTGTGAGAGGGTGTTTGTCTGCCTGATAGACTAGCATCCTGTCCAGGATGTACACCACTTTGTGCCTGTTTCTTGCTGGGTTAGGGTCTGGCGGCCCTGAATTGGAAGAAGTGGTTATACGATGGATGGACACAATATTAGAATTTTGCTCCCAAGGTGGTGCTGGGCAGGGACATAATTCATCTAATTGAAGTAGAAAATTTCCTGTTTGCTTCATTCTGATTTGTCAATTTCTCAAAATGTACACCAGTAACATGAACAACAAAAGATTTCTACAGCCATGTGCCTATACTGAGATACAATAGCAGCATTAAATCAGGAGCTTGTTTCTTCATTTTCCAAACTTGCACTCTAGACATATCCAGCTTTCATTCAGAGAAATGAAATTTGTAACGAACAGTTCTTTCCGGACCCTATGCGGACGACACAGTCCGACGGAGTGGGGGAACACTGGGGAAACGTCATGCAGGAAAACCGGGCTGAAGACAGGGGGGCGTGTCCAAGGTGCGCTGGTGCACGGGGGAGGTGTGGCCGAGGGGAACAATCCGAGAGTAGTCCTTAGGGAATATCCAAAACACGAGGGTAAGTCCAAAACCAGGAGATCCATCAGAACAAACAATTAAAAAACCACGAAGGCCGGTTCGGAACCGGCGGACGGGGAACGGGAACGGAGGTTCAAACCTTAACGGGACCAGGCGCTTCCAGGTCCCGGACTCGCACGATGTGGAAATCAGATGCAGAGCCCGGATGAGCGTCAGCGCCTGGCTTTTAAGGTGGACTGGGAATAGGGAACAGGTGCAGAGAATAAAGTCTTGAGTGATAGGGCTGGAGCACCCTTAAGGAGGGGGAACTAATATCGTGACAAAATTAGGATGGAGTATCAATGGAGGATGGATCAATATATAGTATAGATAGTGACCTCTGGATATAGTATCCAGATCATTGACCTCTTAGCTGAGAAGGAACATGTGTGCTATTAAAACAGAAGTATCCCACACAGAACTAAATCTCTCTCAAAGTGGATGTTAACAAATGAATGGACACCAATTTCTCAATTCCACACAATGAATCATTGTCAAGGAATCAGGAATTCCACTATATACAACAGGAATTATTATTTTCTCAAATGAACAAGTCAACAGACTTCATTATGAAGAGTACACTTTTCTTCCATTATCTGGATTACCTGGACAGAATCTTGCCTGCTAGAAAGAGGGAAACTTTTTCATGGTCTAATCTTTTCCCCAACCTCCAATAATGTTAACGATAATTCCTTCATTCTCTCTTTCCTTCTCCTTTTTCTTGTGCCTAATGTCTTGCTGTACAGTATTTATCCTGGCATGTGGCCTTATTTTCTCTGGACCAATACCCATGGAGACTGGCTTAATGACCTTACTAGGAATGGTTCAGTCACTGTAAAATATTGATGTTTAAATATGGTTGACTTAGTGATTTAACAGTGAATTAGTTTAACCTGAGTTAACAATTAGTACCACTGCTTTGATCATTTTTACCATGCTTAATTGTTTCAACAACCAATGACAGCTGTGTGAACACTTGAGACAATACCCATTGTACTAATCCTGCAGAACAGTGTAATCATGTTGGGAAGCACAGACATTGAGCCAGCCTCCCAAAACATGTAACAGTATGTATTGATCAAGGTGAAGGGCTTTATACAGATGCACACAATGGAAATCAGATATTGCTGGTTTTAAAGGATTCCTACTGGCAATAAATCGAGTTGTTAAGCAAACAGAATGATACAAATTAGAAAAAAGGCGGCGGCACTCTGCATTCAGAGTTTGGATGTTCCTGGACTAAAATTTGAAAAGATAAGGCTCATATAATTATTTTCATTTGTTCTTAGACACTTGGTTCACAGCCTTTTCCCCAAGCTAGTATAACTCAAAAGTGACACAACATGAGTGAAAAGAGCCATTCGGCTTTTATTTGAAATTTGTCCCTGCATTTTGAATGCAGCAAGCTGACATGCTGTTAAAATGAAGATGTACATGTGTCAATAGCAATGCAGTCACTAAAGTCCTCAAGGAGTGTCTATCCATTTTTAACATCTCATCAGATCTCCGAAGCCAAAAAAACAGATGAGACTGGTCAGTCTGAAGAAGCAATTGCTCACAGTTGTGAAGGTGTTGCTGAAATTATCTAAAGTCAGAGTCCCCGATTTTGTCCTCAGTTAAGCTATCTCTACGAAACATAAGATATCACATGGGTCCAGATTAAATCATAACCTCAACTCAGACATCAATGGCAGCTTTTAGTACCTTACAATATCCTTCTATTGAACAGCTGCCATAAAATCAGCTTTAAAATATGTAACTGGCAGATTGGTTGACGTTCTGATGTAATGGTTGACTTGATTGAATTATTAATTCATGGAAGATGAGCAGGAACTTTAAAATATGGGACTCCTGTGGGCATCTGAGCCCATACTGCACTCTTCAAGTGCCAGCACTACACATCTGCTAATTGGCACTTTGACTCTGTTGCTTTCTTATGTTTTGCAGTGATAAAAAACGGATATAAGGGCAGCACAACTAAGTCAATCTAGTATGAAAAAGTGATTTTTCTAACATGAGTGACTAAATGCATATAATAATTCCCAATTTTAAAAGTGAGATCTGGTCAGACAAATTTGAATATTTAGCCATACTCATCAATTAGATGTGAACTACAAAGGATGGGATATATTTAAAAATGTATTGTCCCATCTCATGAGATTTTTAATCATCAGACTTTGCTGATGGCCTATTAATCAGTTTAAACTAATCTCACAGTTTTGTGCTGCAAAAAATATTCTGCTTTGGGATTAAGTTGATTAATCACAACTGATGTTGAAGGACTATTGTAAGAATAAACTATAGCCTTAAAGGCAGTGTAGTTTCCATGCCAAGTAAATGTCAGTGCAGTGTGGCCAATTCTACCTGATGGTTTGTATTCTATTGTGTTAGGGTATGCCAAGTCTTGTTTGCAAAGCTACTGATAAAATAACTTTGTTTTTTACTTGTCTCTGATCTACAATTCTAAAGTCAAAACTGATGAACACTTTTCTCTCTGTTTACAATATAAGTACTTGGAGTCCCAGGCTGCAAGCAGTGAAGAAGGGAAAATGCTTATAGACTATGATTAATTACATTTATACATGGTGGCCAGTAATTGTGTCAGTCCTGGAATTTGTGTCTTTTTCTTGTGTGTTTCAGCGGTGCAGGAGGCAATAAACAAGGATGGAGGAAGACACCGTTTGCTCAATATCCTCGACAATATGTGTAAGGGTCTGGTGATGCTGAACCAGTCTGGACCTGGGCGAAGGGGGCAGTAAAGGAAACTAAAGGAGCAACAACCCATATTGTTTTGCCAAGCTTCCTCCTTTAATCAACTGGACATACCTGCCCCAGACTCACCGATGGCAAACCTCACTGAGTGGCAATGGCCAGTTGAAAAGCACATACTGTATGAAAGAGCCAGTCAGATAACTCTAAACTTCGGAGAAGGGGGGACAGTGAGAGAGATTGATGTGGTTGGACACAAAAGGACTTGACTCGGACACCAGGGACTGAAAGCAGAGGAAGAAAGCCCCAAGATCGTCTTTCTCCCCCCTCTACCCAAAACTCCACTGGGAGACAAACAGGTTAGAGAGGGGAACACCAGGGACACTCTGTTCCGGACACCTGGGACTGAAGAAGATGCCTAAGAACAACTAAAGGAGCAACACAGAGGACAGAACTGCTGGACTGCAATCTTTGAGGGGTTTTGTTCTGGTAACTGGGATCCAAGTGCTACTTGTTCAGGTCTGAAATGTGTGCCTTGGAGAAAGTCATGGGATCTGGGTATACAGGGTGTTGGAATTACTAGAGAATAAAAAGAACACCATGCAACACTTGAGTGTACTAGTTGTCCTGGAAGATAAAAGAACCTGTGTTGAGGAAAGAAGGGTTTTTATTATACTGTAATTGCTAGATGGCATAGTCCTCTGCAAAGTAAATATTATTTCTTCATGTAGGGGTCACCTGTCTCTGACATATTCTATTAGTATTGAAAGCTTTTTGTCAGGGGAATTCCAACCAGATTTTCAAAATACAATTCTCCTATAGAGTCATGTTTATCCTGGAACAAGACATCAGTAACATTCTTTAGAAGATACAGGCATAAACTAATAGTATGTTACAAGGACTTGACAGAAACGTTGATCTTATAACCCACTTGATTTGAAATACGAACTCCTGGCCATATACAGTAGGCAAGAAAATTG